ATAGACATGTAAACACCTTAATCACATTATTACTGTCGTGTAGGACTTTTTGCTGCATTTTGCGACAGGATTCACACACGGCAGTGCTCAACCGTTTGACGGCAAATAAAAGAGATTCAAGACCCGCCGTCGTCTGTATGCACGTATGCACTTGAAGCTTTCAGTAAATTTAAAATGAATCACCCAAAACTGTACATGGCATCATCACGAAGACGAACTATATGTTTATACGTGAAATTCCGGAGGGGACGTCGGATGTCATCACGTGGGGACGTAATGACGTGTGCCATAATCGAACTATGTACTATAACATGTAAAAAGGGAACATGAAAGGAATATTCTAAAAGCAACTCATGTAAACACCATAATCATAATATTGGCTTATTTAGAATAAGGTAAATAATTAGATTACTGGTGTCCATGTAAACGTAGTCAGTGATTCAGCCCTTCGGGGGTAAAGACCCAGACAACTGCGTGTGCATCTTTTCATGCAGCATCTCTTACAAATGCTCACTCCAGCAAAAGAACATGCATGACAGAGAAAATCACAATTAGATTTGAGATGATCAAAACTGACCTGAAACATTTTGTGTGCAGTGGACAGCTTTGTGAAGTCCTATCTACTCCGCGCTCCCTCTGCGACCTGGCTGACTGTCAAAACAATGCCCCCTGTGTGGAGCGGGGGGGCCATGCACTGTGTCAGTGCCTGGAAGGGTTCGGTGGACCACGCTGTGAAAAGTTGGTCAGCGTCAACTTTGTGGACCGAGACTCCTACCTGCTACTGAGTGACCTGCAGAACTGGCCTCAGGCTAACATCACGCTACAGGTATTCAACAAACCTCAAACTTTAAACAACCAAGTGTTATTGTATAACATCTTTCACATGGCTTGCAGCATACAGAACTAGTAAAAAACTAGTAGAAGCACTTTATAACAGGTAACCAGTGTAGCAATGAGGTCCATTTCTTGGCATTGGCAAACTAGGCTGTCACTGCGGTCAGGTTGGTTCTGTTCATCTACTGATGAAAGATGATCTATTTTGGTTCTGTTCTCAGGTGTCCACAGCAGAAGACAATGGCATTCTTCTGTACAATGGGGACAACGACCACATTGCTGTGGAGCTTCATGAAGGTCATGTTAAATTCAGCTATGACCCTGGCAGCCAACCAAGTCATGCAATCTACAGGTGATATGGAGTTTTGAGCTGTATTTTTATATATATATATATATATATATATATATATATATTTTTTTTTTTTTTAATTCAAATTAAATGTTGGCATGCAGGGATATTATTAATTATGAAGATCCCT